AGATTAAAATGATCTGCTGGAAGGTAATTCACAATTGTACCTTTGATTTTGATAATAATAATGATACTGTTGATTATAGTAATTTTATTATCACTGACTTGTTGAACACTTACTACATGCCAGCTACTATACTCAGACTGTGCATGCTTTATCTCATATAATTCTAATAGTCCTGTAAGTAAAGACCTATTATTAATCCCCACTAAACAGATAAAGAAACTCAGGTGTGTGTGTGGGGGGGGGGTTAAGGAACAGCAAGCAAGTGGCATATCTGAGGTTCAAATTCAGATCATAGGACTCTACAGAGTTCCAACGCTTACACATTCAACTGATCCACTTCCCAGATATCATCCAAACATAATGTTACACAAAGCTTATGATAAGCACAAAGCTTATGAAACAGAAAAAATAGTCAAGGGTGTAGGTCAGCTGTCACCTTCTGATGGTCTAAGAAAAAAAAAAAAAAACCCCAATGAGGAGCATCTTCAAAAACCCAAGCTCAGGAAACTAAACATTACAATAAGCTTTAGAAAAAGACTATATTTTGGAGAACCTGTTATTTAAACAGTTGTTATCTTGCAGAGCCAAATGTCCAATTATGGGATATCAATTCTGTCTCAGAGATCTGTGACAAAATGGACTAAAAGCAATGCCATCAAAAAGTTTCCCTACTCCAGCTTTCTACGAATACCCAACAATAAGATGTATGAGTACTCAGATTTTAAACACCTTCACCATGAAATCAAAATGATCTTACTCAGCTGGATGTGGAGGTGAGGATCAAGGAGGTGGGAAGGGAAACCATCTGACCATGACCATCCCATGTCATGGAGGAGAGACTGTTACAGATCATTTCCTGGGGTGACAAGACAATGCCCCTTCCTTACTTGTGTTCTCCTTCCACCTACCACATATACGAGGGACCTCCTCTCCCTACCACTGTTATGGCATGGTTTAACCACTCCTGTCACTCCATTTCCCCACACCTGGGGCTTGTGCTGGCTTCTATTACTGTTGACTTACTGTAAAAAGTCATCATGTGTTCTCACAGCAGTCCACAATCCATCAGAGCCTTCCATGCTTTGGCAGCCTGGAGGCAAGATGGAAGCAAGGGTAAGGACCCATTCCCATGTAAGACTCTGGGGCCTTTCCTGCATCCTCCATGTGCCAAGATACTGGATAGACCACTTAAAAACATCTGTAACTAGCCATCAAGGACACACCCTTCTCCAATACAGCTCAAAAAAAGAAAAAGCAAGACTGTTAGAATCACATCATGAGATTCAGAAGCTTTTGCCATCTGGTAATACTCACCATTTCTTTGTTGCATTTATTTATAACCTCTTTGCTTCCATCCTTTCCATATCCTAATGGATATCCTCCTCCTCTCTCCTGGTGACTTCTATCTTCACATACTTGATCCAGTAAATACCTAGTTTCTCAGTGTCTGATGTCACTGCCAGTCATCAGCTCAGTAATCATCTCAGTCCATCTCAGCCAACTATTCCCATGTCCATAGCCCAGACTGTCATCACTAACTGTCATTTCCAGTATCCTCACATCAAATATCCAACTCACCATCATCACCAATATTCCAGTTTACTCTGTCTAGTGCATCTACTTCAACATTTTTTGATCCTCCAGAACTTCCAGATCATAAAATATATACTCACTATTTATACTTCTTTTCATGTTTTCACTCCATCTTCCTTTTAAAAAAATCAATCCATTGGATAAGCCATCAGTTCTATTGTCTCCCTTGCTCTCCATCGTGGAAGCCGTCCTAGATGCCTCCAGCTCTCCATCTACCTCATACCTGTATCTAGCTGAATGGTAATGATGAAAAACATGCAAACACTTGGACTATTCTCATCCTAAATCCATGACCTCAGACCCCAAGTAGAACAGTGTTCTTACTTCATTTTTCTATTCATTTCAGGTAATTATTTCACAACTTTTCACATTTCAAATCTCCAACACCTCTTTTTACTTCTTCACTCTTGGATGATGGTCTATTTCTTTAAGAACACAGAAGCAATCAGAAAAATTCATAAAGCCACAATTCCCAGCTTCTGTGCAATGAGCTCTACCTTTTCTTCCTCCGCCAAAATTCTTCCTAGGGATCAACCTTTCCACATCCAGAGGATCCTGTTTTCTTCCACCTGAAAGACTTTGTCCCTGTAGTTATTCTATCACTCTCTTTCTTCACTTCCACCTCTCTAAGAACAGTATATCACACACAAACATGATGAAATAACACACATCTTAAAGCAGCAGCAGCTCTCACAGCTACTACCCTATTTACTTGTTCTTTTTATAGTAAAATTTCTGATTTTTAAAAAAGTCTTATCTTTATTAATTTACCTTACAATTTATCTTGATCTCTCTTTGTAGAAGACTGCCATTGTTCCCAACAATTGGCTCCTCCTTTCTATAAAAATTGTGTCCCTAGTGGTTGCCACATGACCTGCAGTGCCTTCTGCAGGTAGAATATAGCTTCCTCAGCCATCGGTTTGATCATGTGGCTGGTTTACCCAACAGAATCATAGTAGACATGATATAAGCTGTATTTGAGTAAAAAGCTTTAAGAGGTATGCTAAGTTGCCACCAGATATCTTGCTCTTCCCCTAAGCTACAATAACTCCAAACCCAAGATTGGAGCTTTCCTTCAGCCTGAGTTTTAAAATTAGAAGTTATAAGGACCAGAATTATAGCTGACCCACAGCTGTCACCAGGTAACATGAACAACAACAAGACACGTTACTGTTTGACAAGTCCTTTAGAGTTGAGAGTTGATCATTATGGCAGCCTTACTGAACAAATTCTGACTTTCCAAACAGGCTCGTGGTCCCATCATCCCATGGAAGAATTGCACTTATCAAAACCATTTCCATATTGCCAAGTCCAGTGATTGATTAATTATTGGTCTCTTTATTGAACCACTCCTCTGTCATCCTACTTAAAACCTTTTCATGTCTTGGTATTGGGAACCCCACTTTCCCTGTATTACTATTGCTTCACCATCCACTCTGTCAGTCGGCTTTACTGGTTCCTCCTCTTCTTGAGTTCTAAATGTTGAAATCTTAGACTACCTGTAGATCTTTTCTCTACCATTTTCTCCATATCTGTGGCTGTGATTTCAAAATTAGTATCTCTTACTCCTACTTTTCCCCTGATCTTCAGGCTTGAGTATGTACTTTCTTACTCAGTATCCACAGTATCCACATGCATGTCTAGAACAGTACTCTTAATTACCTCCAAATACCACCAAAGACCTGTTCATCTCTACTCTTCCCTATTTCACCACTTCACACCCAGTTGCTCAGGCCAAAACAGACTTAATATCATGTATATTCTCCTCTTTCTCTCACTCCCACTCTAATCTAACTCCAGATTTTGGGATTACCTCTTGCCTGGACTGCTGCAGTAGTCTCCATTCTGCACCACATCCCTGTTTCTACTCTTGTCATCTTGCACTCCACAAACTGAACATCCAGAATAGTTCATTGTTTATTAATGTAAATTAGACATCATTATTGCCCTTACTCAAAACCCTACAATGGTTTGCCATATTCTTCAGGCAATAGCCAAAACCCTTGTCATGTATGCCAAGGCCCTACAAGATCTAGCCCTATCTTTCCAATTCTGTCTTCTCTCATTCTTCTCCTTGCTCATCCACTCATAAACCAACCATCTTGATGTTCTTCAAACCCACAATACTTTTCCTATCTCAGGGCTTTTGAACTTGCTCTTCCCTCTGTCTAGAATTCAGTCTTTCCCTTGATTTCTTCAGACTGGTTTCCTACTCCACTCAGGTTTTGCTTAAATGTTTTGTCTTTTTAACCATCCCAACTAGCCACCTCTTCTCTATCATGTTTTATTCCCTGATTCATGTTCTTTGTAGCCCTTTGTAGATAAGCCCTTAAGGGACAGTATAGATTAGGAGTTAAAAACAGGCTCTCTGGCTTTGACAACTAACCTCTCTGTGCATCAGTTTTCCCACCTGTAAAATGGAGATCAGAGAAATATCATTTATCCTATAAAACTCTACAAAGCTTAAATGAGTTAACACCTGTAAAATGCTTAGTAAAAAGCATGACAGGATGCAATGATTTTTGGCTGTAACTGACATTGAATTCTCTAAATGTACATTGTTTATCTCCCCATAGAACAAGAACTTTGTATTTATGGTTCACTGCTATATTCCCAATACATGAATGATGCAGAAACTGTGTTGACAGAATTGTCTCTGCAAACCCATTTTAAGGAAATACTTCATTTTGGGTATTAACTTTTTTAAAATTTAAAAAATATTTATTATTTATTTTTGAGAGAGGGACAGAGCATGAGCAAGGGACAGGCCAAGAGAGAAGGAGATACAGAATCCAAGGCAGTCTCTAGGCTCTGAACTGTCAGCACAGAGCCCGACAGGGGACTCGAATCCATGAACCATGAGATCCTGACCTGAGCCTAAGTCAGATGTCCAACAAACTGAGCCACCCAGGAACCCCCATGTTGGGTAGTAGTTTAAAAAAAAATCTTATTTAAACTGTATTTTACTTAGTCTGACTCACCTTCCCCCAATTTCAGTGTTACTTTATCATTATTTTAAATTGATCTTTAATTGATAATTTTTCACATGAAAGTTTCATCTCTTTCTTTCAATATTAAACAAGATAAGATCAGGAAAACTGATAGTTAAAGTTCTCTGAAATAATCATTCCCTAATGTGTCTGTTTATGAGAGTTTCAATTGTCACCAATTTGGTTTACATAAAATGGATTATATTACCATTTGGACTAATGTAACCTGGCTGGGGTCAATGAAAGTAAATGCCATATGTTACATGATCACTTGTGAGTTCCTGAATCTTTCACTGACTTCCTGAATCTTAATTACAACCTTATCTTAATATTGACTAATAATTATTATTAATAATTTATAATAATCCCAAAAATAATAAGCCCTTATAATAACAATTAGTGTATACAAACACAACATTTGCAAAACATTATTTATTTCATGTTCATCATTTCCTGGAGCACATGAAGAGGCCCTTGCAATTATATTCAGTCCACAGAGATGAGAAGGGTTCTGACTTATTTCATTTGGAATAAAGTACAGTGCCAAGAAAGTAAAGCTATTTACCACAGCTGGCCTCAAATGGAAGTTCTCCAAAGACAGGGACTATAGAGAAGCTCACAAGTTACTATAAATCATGTTCAATGCGATGCTGCTAGAATTTGCACTCTTCTTTCATGGCGCCATAGAACCAGAAGCTATTAAGCTCTGAAGGACCTCAGAAATCATTCTAACTAGCACCCTCTTTTTCTCCATATGAGCATCCTGAGTATATTAACCAAGGGTAGGCTAGTTGTTGTAATAGATAAACCTTCACATCCCAAGGGCTTCACGTAATGAAAGTTTCTCTATCACAGTGGTGATTCTGGGACCGAAGCTCCTTCCATCCGTGGCTTCACCATCACCAGCATGTGGCTTCTAGGGTTGCTGTGGGAGAGCAAAAAAGATGGAGGTCATGGGTGAGAAGTTCTTAACGGCCAGGCCTGGCATCAGCACATATCACTACTACTCACATCTCACTGACCAACACTCAGTCATTTGATCACCCTAACTTCAAAGAGGCTAGGAAATTCAGTCTAGCTGTTAACCAAAAAGGAAGGGGGAATGTGACTGGTGAACAGCTGGTGTCAGCCATACCAAGCAGATACTGCAACTTTCCTGAGCTGCATCCACTCAGTTTATAAGTAGTGGCTGAGGCTTTACCCAGCCCTTCTGTTCCTGGATATGAGTGTCTTCCACTTAGCTACCCTTACCCTTCTCTCCTGCTATCCTTTGCATACCAGCCTTTATTATACAAGTTCTTTATTGTTTCTAATCTCGTGTTTTCCTTGACTTTTACTCCTGGGGATAGGAAAAAGAAATGAGAAGAAGGAAACAGTAGCTATTAGTTATCCAGTGAAAGAACACCTGAAAGGAGAGACTGTTAGTGATAGAAAAAAGGAAGTTGTTCTTTTGGAATCATCCAGCATCCTGCTTCCAGCTGTAATCAATTCCCATGTTTCTCCCTATGGCCCAGGTAGTAATATTGGAACTGAAAGGACCTCAGAAACAGCTAACACAAAGGCAAGAAGCTGCCACTGTTATTAATACGTCACGGGACCTGAAGCAACACCCCTGGGACTCTCAGTTAAAAAACTGAGGTAATGCTTCACATTAGGTTGTCATAAAGATTTAAAGTGATAATATTACACAAAATTATTGGGCCCAATGCCTGGAACACAGTAGGTTCTCAATCAGTGTTAGTTGGGTTTGAATCTGAACCAAGTTCAATGTTGTCATGTTACAGAATGTTTTGTGCCACCAACCAGATGAGATTAATTTGGTGCACAGTCTTTTAGGGTTCTCAGGTCCAATTCCAATGGGGAGGGAGGAGGGTCCCCACACATACAACACCCAAGCTTTTTCAGATATCAGTAGAATTCAACTCCATTCTGATACCATCTACAGGGAGATAGCACCAGATTGAACAGGTTAAATGTTGAGTACTGTAAAACCAGCCCTCGCTTCAGCCTCAAGCTGTTACCTGCGTTTCTGACTGGCTACAGTTAAGGCGTTCCAATGATCTCCACTTTAGGTTCAATTAACTTGTTAGAGCAGCTTACAGAACTCAGGGAAACACTTGCTAACCTTTACCATTTTATTAAAGGATATGATAAAAAGGATATGAATCAACATCCAGATGAAGAGATACACAGGGCACAGTTCTGCACAAAGAAACGTCTGTCCTCACGGAGTTTGGGTCCCAGCTCACTGGCATATGACAGCGTTCTGATTCCCTACACATGGACGCTCTCTCTGACAAAGGACCGGAAAGCTGTCCTCTTGGGTTTTTATGGAGACTTCATTATATATTCATGATTGCTTGAGTCACTGTCACTGACAATTGATTGAACCTCCAGCCCCTCTCCCCTCCCAGATATCATGGTATAGGACGGAAAATTCCACCCCTCGGATCACACAGTTGGCTCCATTGGCAACCAGTCTCCTTCCTTAGGACTTTCCAAAAGTTGCCTCATTAACATAACAAAAGACACCTCTGTTACTCTCAACATTCAAGAAATTCCAAGGGCTTTGGGAGCTGTGAGTCAAGAACTGTGAACAGACCAAATATATATGAGAAATATATATATTGATTATCTGAACGATTACATGCATTTTTCTTATAAATCACAAATATCACAATAGGCTAGGTATGATCTGTTAAATGACCCAAGTGCTGTATGTAGGAAGCCTCAGTCACCTGGAGAGATTCAGGAGCCGGCTGCTGGGAATGAGAACAAAGGCTATGCCCAGCAAGCTACTTTCACATACCTGCTTATTATACCAGACCTAGCAGCAATCCTGGGTCTCACCCTGCCCCACTCTTCCTCTCTCTTCCCATCCTTCAATAGACTCAAAGCCTAGGAGGCTCTCTCTAACCAGCACCACAAGTCCATCGTGAAACTCACCCCAGTCACAGATAAATTCTCATTTGCATTTCCATTTCCTTGCTATATGATTTTAGACATTTAATAAATGGTAGCTATTATTTTTATTATTGAGTGAGTTCATTATTGTTTCTAGGGCACACTGATGTTACCACCCTCTGAGGGTCTTCACTGCCTCTGGAAAATGCATTCTGTCCACTACCAAGACATATGAGAAAGGCCAGTCCATTAACACTTGGTGCTGCTGAGCATCAGATCCAGCCAAACTTACCACACATATTCTCAAACAGGTCTCTGAAGCAGGTAAAGGTGACTTGAACAAAGATGAATTATTTCTCTTGACAGAGGTCTCCAGTGTCTTGATGATGTGTGCAGTGAGGTCACGGACCAGGAGAAAGGGACTGGAAAGATGATGCTAAGATTATTGACTCTTGCACTGGGACTTATGAAGTTCTAAGAGATGAGGAGGAAGAGAAGACATCATGGAACTGAAGCCCATGAGCTCAGTGTTACCTGCAATGACAGTTCCAAAACATGAGGAAACATTTCTGCACAGCTCCTGCACCAGTGGGCTCCAGGAGGCCATAGCTATGGCAGCACACTGAAAGGCTTCATGCTCTTTATGCTTCATCCTTGACCAAGTCAATGGCATGAGCTCTGTTATGTGTGCCCAAGATCCTTACAACTCATTCCCACCATCCCAAAGAAGATGCAACTGATTTTTCTTTCAGGTTGCCATAGGATTTTTACACACCCATCTTACTATACATTAAAATGTAACTGTTGATTTTCTTGCCTTTCTCCCCATCTGTCTTACTCCTTATCTGGGATAAGCAGGTGTTCAATAATTGTTTTTAGACTAACAACTGGTCTCTTTTGCCAGATACCTATGTCCTCCTGACCCTCGCCTCTCACTTGACATTGGACCCCATCACCCTGTTGACATGACTCCCAGGCATGCCCATGGCCAGTCTTCTCCTGAGCCCAGCCTTGGTATTGAGGAAGCATGGAACTCAATCTAACAACAGAATTTTACTGTCCTCCTGAACTCTGGGAGTGCCCTCCCTCATCCCAATAGGCCTTACCACCTCCATATTTGAGACTTCTCTGGCAGGCTCAGACTTTCCCTGCATCCCTTGCCCTCATAACCTGGACCCAGTCAGCAAGTCTCATGGGACAGGCACAGCATTTAACAATGAGAGCAGGGGTCCATCCCCACATTCCCCAGCTTAGGAGTGATGCTATCTGTTATAAACCTACCATCGCCAGTCCTCAGTGTCTTTCACAAACGGATGAAATGATACCAATCTCAGAGGAAAAATGAGAATGAAGGTAGAGGTGAGGGGACGTTGAAACAGAGTTCAGCCAGCTCTGCCTTTGCCTACAGCAGAGAGCCGAAAGCATTTAGACATTTCACCTTCACCAATGTTTACATAAGGCTGCCTCCATGGGTTCCTCCATCCCTGGCCCACACTTCAGTCCAGGTGAGGGGGCTGCTAGCAGTGTGCCTCTGTCATCGACGTTCCTTAGACTGCAGAAATCCCCACAAGTGGGCAATCCAGGCAGGAAAGGTAGGTGTAGATGCTTCTTAGGCACTGTCAAATCAGTGGATCAACAAAATAGAAAGTGGCAGAGAGCAGAGCCTGTCTGTGTTATTTCAAGCTTGTGATCACATCTCACATGCTCTGCTGAGCCAGTGAACAAAGCAACCCTCGAAAGCTGGTGGTTGGCATGAGAGGCGCTCAGCCAAACTGCCGGCAGCCCTAGCTCTGCCCCACACACTCATCAGTGAACCTGACCTCCCCTGAGGGAGTCCTTCACTAGCCTCAGTGTCCTTGGGGCTCCTCCGGCACGTCTGTTCAATTCAACATATATCGAACACTTGCCAAGGCCAAGCCTTACACTGACCCTTTGAGAACTACAGAAAACAAAGACCCACCATCCCTACACTCAGTGACCTCCCAGCCATGAGCCATAGTCGAGAGTTTTCTCAACCAACACTTCTACCGGGTCATTCTCCTCCTCAAGAATTTGCAATAGCTTCCTATTGCTTTAGATGAAGTACAAACAGTTTGCCTGACTTTTAAGTACCCACCTCCAACCTAACTCTACTTCATCTTGCTAACTATAGCATAAACCCTCCATTCCTGCAAGTAAAATGTTCTAATTGTGCCAGGCTCTTTCTGTCCTCTCCAGTCATGCTGTAACTGTTTCTTATCTAAACTTTCAAGACCAAGCTCAAATTCCACCAGCCTCTACATGATCTCTGATTTTCTAACCTCCAGTTCACTGATAGCAAGCCACTAAATTATTCTTTAATTGCTTCACACAGCAAACGCCCTCCCCCACTAGATTATAAAGTCCTGGAGGGCAGAGACTCTTCAATTAAGCTCAGTTCAATAAATATTTTTGAACACCTACCATTATCCACTGCTTGTATCCATTGATGTGTTGACTGACAGGCGGGTCCATGCTCTAGGCTTCTCCAGGCACATGAACAACTTTCATGAAAGAGAGTGTAAGTTAAAACTTTATGCAAATCTTGGCACTGTGCCCTTCCCTTAATGATCTCAGAGCATTCTGAAATAAGACAAAACTTCAACCCATCTTCAGAGCCACCTTGAGAAATTAGGAAATCATTTGTTCTTCCCTTGTAAGGCCAAGCATCTTGAGAGTCACACCTGAACACAGAAGTAAGTACATGTGGGAATGCCCACCTCACCCAGCCAGGAGAAATTGGAGCCCCAGGGGCTGGGTCTCATGCTGGGCAGGAGGATGAGAAGTGGGTTGGGGGTGGCAGCCTTCTAGAGGCAGACTATCCTTGATCTCTCACAGTGCCTTGAAGTTGCTACAGACCCACCCTATTTTCCAACACAAATTCTTGCCATAGGTCCTACCTATGTGCTGGTGCCTTGCTTCTGTTCTCAATACCCTACCCCCAATCCTTCCTACTGCAGGGAGAAATGCTAAGAGAAAGGGAGACCTGACAGAATCCTGAGCTGCTTACTTTTTTGCATGTTTAACTATTGCCATCTAGTGGCCATGTGGCATAAACTAAACTTGCATCCCATCCCCCAAAACCATCCTTTTCCCCCTTTTTTCAGAGGCAAGAAAAGAGCTCTCCTTTTCAACCTCAAAAGGTCCTAAAAACTGTGGGCAAAGACTTCCAGGAGTTTCAGTTTTCTCAGGAAATCATTTGAATACGTGCCAACCTGTAGACGTTAGGATCAAGGCCCTCCCTGTGGATAACAGCCTAGGCATGAAGCCTTTAAGAAGACTAAGGAGTTGCAAGAAAAGAGAGGGTAGCAGAGAGAGAAGACGGAGAAAGTGAGCAGATGGGGAAGAAGAGAGGGGGCAAGGGCAGGGAATAACTGCAAGCTCTGGACCTGTGGCCACAGTACAAGATGAGATGCACCAGCTCTAAGCTAATGAGGGGAGTGTGCCAGAGACAGCAGAGGAGCTCTAATCTGGAAGACAATGCAGATGCCAGGAGGGTTGCTCTTTCACCTTCACTTTCACAAACTACACCTCCCTGTCTTCACAGAGATGTTGGTCACTCTGCCCCTGAGATAGCACACCTTCTTTGTTAGTGATATCTGAGCATCCCTGCCTCCACCCTCCATCTTTCCGTCACCCTCTTTCTTTCTGCAGCTCTCAGGGAACAAAACATCCACCTAGGTCCAGAGCATGGCAGATAGAACCCCTGGGCAATGGTGGACTTTAAGGCTCGGCCAGCCCATCCGTCCCTCTCATGCCTGCATGCAAACCTCTCCTCTCTCCAACCCTGCCTTCAAGCTCTCTAGCTCTACTTGGAAGAAATATCTTCCTCATGGAAGAAATGAAAATAAAAATACAGCCAGTCAGGGTGGTACCCTTTGCCTCATCCCCAAGAAAGTCTGCCAGTCTCCACACCCTACCTGGGAGACCACTACCTTCAGTGAGACCCATTGAGGTGATGAGGAGGGCTATTAAGCAAATTCATTATTGACTACTTCACGTTAGATTCCATTTTTTCCCTTTGATGTCGACACAACTAATAAAAATGCACTTTATCTTCTTGGATTTATGGGCTCGTAAAGCTGCTTTCATGTACCTCAGGGAATTGGGATTAAAGGAGAATTAAATGTCTCCAGTGCAAAGCCTGCTCAGGTGAGAGAGTGGGGGAGAGAGCTGAGGGGCTGGGGGAGAAGGGAAAGAGTGATTCAAGGACAAGAAATAAACTGAAATAAAAACCTGGCAAAAATATGGCTTTAATATATTGTAAAAGAATAAAAACCTCATAAAAAGTTATCACCAGACATGAGGAGTTCGTAATGTCGCCCATTGTGGATTCTGGGAGGAACTTTCTGGGAGATGAGAGTCATTAAGTAAGAGTGAGCCAGGAGCCAGTGGGCAGGGAAAGGCAGGATGGAGACTTGATGGAGTTGTACCCAGAGGCAGCCAGGGAGGCTGCCAGCCCCAAAGCAAATATGTGGGTCCTGTGACAGGACTCAGGCACCTCCCATGGGGGCTCAACAGAGATGGCTATACCCAGGATGGATAGACCTCCTCTAGAAAGGAGGGAGCTAGTCCTGGCTTTCACTAACCTAATCTCTCAGCTTCTTATTTTCTTCCATTAACCAGGGACAAAAATCCCTGGCCACCTTCTTCCCAAAGTTATGCCAAGAGCCAAATAGAACAGGGTGGTCATGTGAAAGAGATTTCATTGATTCAAACCAGAAATCTGGAAGCCATTCTTGCCCTTTCTTTTCCTTCATCCCCAAATCCAGGTCATCACCAGTCTTGTCATTTCTACATTAAAAGAAAACATCTCTTCCCTTCTTTTCTCCATCTCCAGCCCAGGTGCAAACGACTCTTATTTCTCACCCAGACTACTGCAATATCTTCCTTGTAAGCATCTTCTGAGTTCATTCTCCACACAGCAGCTGGAATGATCTTGTAAAAATGTAAATCAGATTATGTCATTCCCTGCTTAAAACTCTTCAGGGGCTTCCCATTGAATTAAGGATAGAATTCAGAATCCAACCTGGTCTGAAAGGCATAATCTAGCCAGGCCTATGTTTTCAAACTCTTAGTGTACCTGGGCCTTCTTTCTGTTCCTCTGCTGCACTGAGCTTTGTCCTGCCTCTGGGCCTTTTACACTCACACTCATCTTTTAGAGAGCTCCCCACCCATCCCCCACCCCTGGCTCTCTGCATGGTTACCTGCCTCTGTGCATTAATCTCAATTCAAGTGTCACTTCGACTTCCACAAAATGTAAGCCATGTGTGTTCTGCATCTATGATTTCCTACATCACAACAGATATGCCACCTACATCACAATTTGAGTTATATATTTACTTGTGTATTTCAATTTGAGATCTGATTCTTCCACAAAATTGTAACTCTTTGAGGGCAAAGATTATGTCTATCTGTTATTCATTACATCCCTAGGACTTAGCACACAGGCCAACTCATGATCAGCACTCAATCAATATTCACTGAACAAAAGAAAAAGAACCTTAGATTACTGCTAAATAGAGGTTCAGAGTTTCCCATGGTTGGATAGAAGGAAAAAGAATCTGAGTGGAGGCCTGGAAAAGCCTTCTGGGTAAGAGCCTGACAGGAGTTAGGGGAGAGGAGGTTAGGAACAAAAGACAGGTGGTTAAGGCACAAGCATCTTGTCCTCAGGCCTTTCTCACCTCTGCATTGCTAACTTGTCACCGAGTGTCAAATGTCTATGACATGCAATACTTTGTATTCAATGAGGCTGGGAAATCTCAGAATTTGACACTGCCCCTGCCTTCCAAGAGCAAGAGTATTCATAGAAAAGGAGCCAGGAGCCCAGAGATGACACACTGGACATCCTAAACATAGGACACAGGCCTCTTGAATCCTAGAGCTTTGTCCCAACTGCAAGGAAAGGCAGGCAGACCATTACTCAGGGCCTCACAGGTGGCCATTCTTGGCGAGGTCCTGATGCTCTGGATCTAGTCCTCTGCTTTTTGGAAAAAATTTATTTACTACCAGTGAACAGCGCTAACTTATCCTAACCAAACTTCCTGAAGACTAATTAAAGAAGCAGAATGCAGGTTTATTGACACTGGGAAACACAGTTTCCACCCAGAGGACTCGTTCCCTGGGACCAGGGCTTGCATGAGCGTTCCTTCATATCTACAATGTCACTCTGTCAGCCGTACTGCACACCCAATCATTTTAAGAAACTCTAGCACTTCAAGCTCACATTTGCCTCTTATCTTGGGCCTTTACTTAGGTTGTTTACAATGTGCAAACTACTCAGTCCTATCCCTCACCCTTCCCCCCTTGGGTAGATAATGCCAGGACTCAGTTTCAGTGCCTCTTGCTCTCAAATCCTTTTGCTGATTTACAGACTAGATTAGGTCTCCCTGCTAAATATTATTGTATAGTTCCTTATGTTTCTGCTCATTACTCATCCAACAAATATTTATTTACATTTATTTGAACAACTATGTGCCAAGCACTGTTCTGGATACTGGGGAAATGTCAGTGAACAACAACAACAAAAAAAAACAGACAAAAATCTCTGAGATTTTGAAGCATAAATGTTACATGCATACATAGACAAAAAAATGGATTGGGAACATTAAATGCACCTTATTTTTCTTGGTATTCATTAGTGTATTTCTTCCTCCATTCCTAAAATATTTCTTGTAGGCCTGTTCTGAGGTCAGGCACTATGTAAGCTCTAAGGTTCTAGAGGCATAACCGATACACGTGGTCCCTGTCCTTAGGTATATACAAGGTAAGGAGAGCAATAAACACTACAATTTAAAAAAATGAATAAACAGCAGGGGCTATGAAGAGAATGAAGGAATGTGTAAGAGAGAATAACAAGGGAAAGGTATGGCTGGGATTGTGTGGTAAGGGAAGACTTCTCAGATGAGATTACATTTAGGATGAGATTAGAAGGATGATTAGAAGATTGGGGGAATGAGGAGGAGCCAGCTATGGGAAAAGTGAAAGGAAGTACATTGTGGGCAGAGGGAACAGCATCTCTGCAAATGTCCTTAGGCAGGAAAACAGTTGGCACATCTGTGAGCCTGGAAGGCCAGTCTGGTGAAAGTGGTGAGTGAGGTATAGGGTAAGAAATGAGGTGGGAAAGGTAGCCAGAGGCCAGCTCCTACAGAGCCTCATGTGTCATGATAAAGATTTTTGTTTTTATCCTAAATGCAATAGGAAGCCATTGAGATATTTTAGGCAGTGGGGAGGTGGTATTTCAAGGCAAATGTAGGAATGAGGAATCCAGTTAAAAGGCTTTGCAGCAGGTAAAAAGTGACAATGCATTGGACTGGAATAATGATGTTGGAGATGGGATATTTCTTAGTGAGTGAACCCACATGTTTTGGGACTACCTAAGATGTGGAGATTTACTGTCTTACACAATGAATATAATACGGAAGATAACAAACTTTATTTCTCTGGTGCACATCAATGTTTGTAGACGTGCATGACAGTTCTTCCTAATGTCCACCTTAATTCA